AGGAATGCATTTAGCACACAGCCAGAACGTAGCCAGAGTGACATGACTAGCGCAGGTCTGCCTATGCAATGATGCGGCACCCAAATTTTAGCAACGTAATGGGGAAAAAAGTTTTCAGGTCACAGCACAAAAGTGTGTGAGCCAACAGGCAGTTGGCTACCTGGGTTACTTGATGAGCTAGATCTAGCTTACACACCTTTTCCAAACATCACATTTTTTCAAAAAAAAAAATAACAACATCCTACTGTTAATAGTATACAAAGGTTGGATTGGAGAATAGCAATAAAGAAGTGAAGCCATTCTGGAATACCTGAAGACATGTGCATAACTAAGTATGGAATAACACAAACATTTACTCCATTTTTCATTTCAAATTGTCCTAACACATGAACCTGTAAAACACCTGATCCCATTTAAAATAAAAGCACCTGGAAAGACTACTATAGATAGTGAATAATGCCTTTTAAGGCCTTTAAATGATACCTATGAATAAAAATGAATAAAAAGCAATGAGTTTGCAAACAAACATAAGAATGTGTGTGCGTATAATTTACATGTTTTAAAAATAATAAATAAGAAGACCTGAAATCATCACTTGCAACAGCTGTCAGAAAAACCTGGAAGCATTATGTTATGTATTGACTTAAGTCACCAAACTACATCCACCTTGCATTGAAGGTTAGTTCAGAAAAAGCAGCCCATGCTACTAACTCTTAGAGAGGACTTGCATTGCTTTTCTGGTACTGAAACCTAACCTTCATATACGCTGGCCTAATTTGAAGGCCGATACATTACGTAAATTCAGCTGAGATACTACAAAAGTCCAAGTGCTACCCTTTGTTTAAGTGATTTACAGAACAGCAAAGAAAGGGATGTCAGAACTGAGCAGATAATATGCATTTCAGGGTTGAAGTGATTCTGAAGGGCTTCTCTGTAGCTTTGATGTCAAATACAGTATCTAAATATTTTTGTTTCAAGAAGCTTACAAATGGAATGGTCTAAACTAATCCAAAGAGACTATTTTACTAATTATAATGCTACTACTAAGTTATAGTATTGTTATATTTATTAAGTCTAAGCACAGTAATCATAGTAATAGTTACTAGCACTATGAAGAAACACTGCTAAGAGGATGAGTAAATTTAGCTTTTTTTGACTTCTGGTATCTACTGTTAAATGTTTGGGCTAATTAAGCTTCTGAAAGGTTTTTCAGAAAAGGAACACCAAAACTGCTCTCAAAAGCCCCTGCTGACTGTAACATGCCTATGTTTAGACAGTATGTATACACCACTCTGCAGATGAGCAAATTAATTCATAAGCATTACATTCCTATTTTACACGAAGGAAAAGAAAAATCTGTAGATGTTTCAGCAACTATCGAAATGATTTATTTTTATTCTCTAAGTAATGACTAAGTACACTGAAGGAAATGTAGGAGGTTAAATGCTGTTGCCTCACACAGACAGCAATTCTGCACCATTCAGGAAATCTAGTCCATGTGGCTCCTTTGCCATATGCTGCTGTCCCTGATGTATATAGCAAATGTGATTATTTTGGAAATTAAGTTTTAACTTGGGTCACAGTCTTGAAAAGACTTATGTAAGATATGCTACCAAAAGTCCTGTAGGATTTTGACTGTTGACAGTTTTTAAAGCATGAGTAGCTCTGTAAAGAAGAGAAATAAAAAGACTTCAGCAACACAGAAGAAAAAAAATTATCCAAACAGGTCAAAATACTGTAACATTTAAGAATCTCTAATTTGAAAAGCTTTATCACTTGTATTATTTTAATTAAACTAATTAATGGTGTCATAATTAAGCAAACAAGAATCTATGCATGACACATTCTCTGTCTTAAAAAAATCCAACCAAACAAACCCCAGCAAATAATGTATTTAAATAACCTGAAATGAAACATCACCAAAATGAGACTAGAGAGTAGGGGCTTTGAGAATTTGCACTACTAACATTTTTTTCCTTCTTATGGAGGGGAATTCCTGTCAAGGTTTCTTGAAAGACCTCATCCTATCTAAATGGTATTCTCCGGGAACCAGCTACTGGTGAAGCAGTCAAGCCAAAGATAAATGGATAGAAGGACACTGAAAATCACTGTGCATAGATATTTAAATGTAATGTATGTACCTGCTTGTCAAAAAGCCTGTAACTTCCACGGTAAAGTTTTGGAGTGCTCCATCAGGGAAAACATAAAACTAAAACTGCGTGCACGTTTCCCACTTTTGGGCCAAGTGCTCTAAACTAACTACTTTACATAAGGCAACATAAAAGACAGTAGCTTCTCATCAATTATGTTTTAAAATAGTTTCCAGAAAGGAATCCATCTGAAATTCCCTGTTTCTTTGTTTGCCATCACCACTAGTAATTTTGAACTAGATTTCCAGTTTCAATCAAAGTTTACAGAGAAAAGCATGTTTTAAAAAGAGAAAATGAAGAAAGAAAAAAAAATCACAAACTTGTCAGCCATATATAGAATATCCTTCCTTGGTGAAATAAAGCAGTAAGAACTCCATCTCCTACTCATTGTATGAGTCCTGCACTTCAGCCACAACAACCTCCAGCAGTGCTACACGCTTGGGGAGGAGTGGCTGGAGAGCTGCCTAGCAAGAATGAAGCTGGGAGTGTTGGTGAACATCTGGCTGAACACGAGCCAGCAGTGTGTCCAGTGGCCAATGGCATCCTGGCCCGGATCCAGGAATAGCGTTGACAGCAAGAGTAGGGAGGTGATCATTCCCCTGAACTCGACACTGGTGAGGCCTCACCTCGAGTACTATGCCCAGTTTTGGGACCCTCACTACAAGAGAGACATCGAGGTGCTGGAAAGGGTTGAGGTGGGCTACCAAGCTGATTAAGGATTTCAAGCATGTGTCCTATGAGGAAGGGCTGAGGGATCTGGGGCTGTTTAGCCTACAGGAGACTGAGGGGAGACTGTATTGCTCTCTACAACTACTTGAAAGGAGGCTGTAGTGAGGCGGAGGTTGGTCTGTTCTCCCCAGTGGCAAATGATAAGACAAGGAGATATGGCCTTAAGTTGTGCCAGAGGCGGTTCAGGTTGGACATTAGGAAGAATTTCTCTACTGAAAGGGTGGTCAGGCATTGGAACAACCTGCCCAGGGAGGTGGCTGAGTTGCCATCCCTGGAGATGTTTAAGAGATGGGTGGATGTTGTGCTGAGGGACACAGTTTAGTGGTGTTGATAGGGCTAGGAAAATGTTGGAGAAAAAAAACGAGACTGCTCTGTGATTCTGTGTTGCAGACAATAGCAAACGCAGACTGCACAACGAACTAAAACACATAACTTTTGATCAGCCACTGTATATAATTGTGTCCTGGGTTTGAGCTAAAACCCAGT